TTATAATGGTCAACACTTACACTGTCTTGACAAAACCACGTCAACAACTACACAACAGCAAACTACACACAGCCCTGTTCCGTTTCAGTCTAAAATTAATGTTCCAACACTCACTTTCAACTAACACATATGGCTGGCTTCACAGAAGTAAAATCAACATTGATACACTTGTATGTGATTTCATATGTGCAGTAGACTAAATATACTTCCAATAAGCTAAGACTGGACAAACGTGTACATCACCTTTACAGTACTACTTTTGTAATTGCTCCTGTAATGCTGATATCTATTTTATGTTCTAATCTCTTTGAGACTTTCTCAGTTGTGCTGCAGTCCACATTTCAAAATATGCTTTCAGTAACCATACAAATATAAATCTTTGATATATACAAGGTCCGACAATTAAGTAATGAGACCAATTCCATAAAGATACAATTTTTTATTCAAAGTAAGCCCCTTGTGCATTGATACAGCAAGTGGCACGATCTAACAAACACTGGAACGATCTCTGTAGTTCTTCTGTCGTTATAGCCCTTAAAGTTGATGTTACGACCCGTTGGATGTCATTAATATCGGTAAAGAAGCGTCCTTTCAATCGTAACTTTAATTTTGGGAATAGAAAATAATCACAGGGAGACAAATCTGGGGAACAGGGTGGAAGGCTGAAAACAAACACTTGTTTTGGGGCCACAAATTCTTGTTTTGATGATGTCTTTTTGGTACTCAACCCGCTGATGTTTTTGGTCATGAGACAAAGAATGTGGTACAAACCGGCAACTAGCCTTTTTCTTGCCAAAATCTTGCACTAAAATGTATTGAATGGTCTCTCTATTAACACCTGATTCATCTGCCATCATTCTCATCCACAGTGAACCAATGATCTTCTTGTATCCGTTTCTTGACTTTTGCAATGAGTTCATCATTACAGAAATTTGGCATCCAGGTCTAGGTGCATTAGTAATAATTTCCACACCACTTTTTAATTGTAAACACTACCTGAAAATGTGTGCACGAGATAAACAATTATCCAGATAAACTTGTTGCATCAATTTAATTGTTTCAATGACGCTTTTCGGAGTTTTAAAAAAGAATTTAATGTTAGCTTTTTGCTCCGTGGTGATACGTAACAATGCACTTCTGACTAGGTCAATAAAATGGCCTCTTGTTTATTTTCTGCTTATCGAGCAACGATAAAAAGTTGCCAGATCATAGATGAATGTTGCCTCTTTAGATTCCATGCTTTGCTTCATGGATGGCATTTTTGTCTTGGCCATAATAAAATCAGTCTCACTACTTAATTGTCAGACCTTGTATAATCTGAATATGTTAGCAGCGCTGATTATATAAATAAACAAAACAGCCAGCTGGAGATATAGAAATCAAATATCCTCTGGCAAGAAAAATGTCAACAATAATTCCCAGCGTTATAACTTTTGTATAGTTTAAACGAGAGAAAACCCTGAAATGAGGAAAGGTAAATACATCTAGCAAAGAAAAAGTGCTGGCAGGAATTTATGAACACAATACTGAATAGACAAATTTCTTTCCACAAAACTGTAAGATGGAAAAAGAGACAAATAAAGGAAAAACAGAATAGGAAAAACAGACAGAGCAAAACTAGCTAAGCAAACATGAACAACTCACTCACTGAAATCTGAGTAAATTACGAAACATGAGAGAAAATAACACTTGTTTGCAGTGATAGTTAATGTACTTTGTAAGACACATTCACAAATAAATACTGCATACATGTTCACTGTGCAAGAAAGATGCAGGACGGGAAAAAAATAATCCAGGATAACCGAAACCCTTGCAGAAAGTCAAAGCGCTGTTGTTCACATGAATAATGACAGCTAACAGTCTTAGAAACAGAGAGAAATAAACGATGCACAACAAATGAAACCGAATAATTTAAACTGTGGGAAGGAAAAAGGACATTTTCTCAACAAGCCTCAAACTTTCTAGATAGCAAGATATTTAACACTACAGAACAATGTAAATTTTAATTAAAGGCAAAAATTCTAGGTAATTCATTTAACATAGTAGCAAAGATAATAAAGAATAACAGTGCTTTTGTACAGTCTCACTGCTTTGGGAGACAACTAAACAAATGCCAGTGAATTATAAGAGATGATAAAAAATATGATGGCATTAAGAAAACCTGAGAACAATATAACTAGAAAGGCTTCAAACTGGAACCCACAAGAGCACTAAGATAAATGTAGACAAAAAGAAAACATGGAGAAGGGAATTAGAGAATGAAGTTAATATGGGAAAGTCATGGGGTGAGCTGCATACAACAGCAAGGGATAAGATGACTGCGTAAATTGGTTTAGGGTCTATGCTCCACTGGGGAATCAAGGGCAGAAGTAGAAGATAGTTTCACTGGCAGTGACATAACTATTTTAAAGGGATGGTGAAAACAAACCTCAAGAATTAATATTTTCAATGAGATTATGTGACAACTATCAAGAAAAGGAACCAGAATATTATGAAAGGTGACATCACAGCCACAAGACATATGCTGCAGGTTCAACTTTCACTGACAGGTTCATTATTACCTAAGCTTGTGCACAGAAAGTTTGCCTTCAATAACTTTCACATAATGAATGTATTTACTGATGTTTGAAGACAAAAATTACATAACAGAAGAATGTGTATGCAATAAAAAGAAAATATCTGCTTTCGTTTCTATAGATGTGTACAGAAATGAGAATGGTTCCTGTTTTATGTATGTATATATGAAGGAGCATGTAATGTCTTCTGTGCTTGTTTATTAACGAAAACCAATTCATAAATGAGAAAATCAGCTCAGAAAGCAAACAATTTTATTTTAATGTAGTTGACTTATAAGTGATGAAACAGGGACAGTTGATTTACTCCAACTCTGATATATTTATAATAATTTGCCAAACTGCAATTAAGCCAAATGAATATTTTAACAGAACCTCTGGTTTAACACACTGAATGAATTGGCATCAGTACACTGATTTAACTCTTCCGCTGCAGAAAAAAAATATGGGCCCAGTTCCCTGGAAATTTTGAGAAAAGATCCTTAAAAAAACTTTTACGCAGATCACTGATACATTTTGTAACAATTTATGTATCTATATTCAAAATACTAGGGAAGGGTTTGTTTAAAAGATATATAAATGGAGTAATCAATTAACAAGAAAAAGTGAAGAATTAAATGGAGTACACACCCCTGGGCCTTTGAAATATACCAAGCGACTCATGATTATGGTCAATATAGTAAAGCTACCATGTATCTATAAGGGACTACCATATGAACAATGCCTGTTACCTCCATCTAAATTAAACTGCGTATCAGAATTAACAATAACTGCACACACAAAAAGAGAAGGCAAGGTACCAGGAAAGAGGTGCTTGGGCCAACCAGCAAGAAGACTGGCTCAGGATATATGTCATAGTTTGGGTAGGAAAGTACACAAGGTGAGAGAGCTTGGTGAGAGACCAAGTTTCTTTCAGGCAGATGGTGATGAGAGCGACGTTCTGCAAAGGACCCACCCACTACAGGATGATGACCACAACAAATAATTTAATCACAGGCAAATCCATGCAGCATCTTTCGGCTTATGTCTCGCTGTTGACCCAGCAAAATTGTGCTTCCTGTGCTAATCATCTTGCAATGAGGTGCGGGGAGCTGTAGTATAAGTCCTACTGCCAAGTGTCTTGTGCTGGTAAATACAATGTGTGCTGTCAGGTGTTACTGATGCATCTACTGCTTGGTCTTCTTATTAGGTCATTTACTCCCTAGTTTTCCTCCTGCTCTGCAACTCAAGCTTTCTACAGTTGCAAGCATACAGGGTTAATTAGGCAGGATCCATTCTCATTGCAAGAAACATCAATCAATCATGTTCCATCTCTGCAATAAAGGTTGGCTGCAATGGATCTACAACATAATCTGTCTCTTGTCTTGGCAATACACTATTTTCGCCTACTTTTGATTTTGTCTGGCTGAACTATATGAGTGAAGTAGGAGAAATATCCTACTATAAGGGAATGTCTATCCCTAGTACATGAAGACTGGGAGGTGAACAAGGCGGAAGAATCTACAAAGAACAGTTCGTAAAGCAAAATAGCAGTGTGTGTTGTAAACAAAAGCATGTTTGGGCCACAACAGAGAACATGATTGACCATCATGGAAAAGACACAATTTAGAAACGGAATCTCAGGATGCATAAACCTGCTTAAATGCTGGTGAGCTACCTCTTTAATATTACATTTATTATTTATTCAAGACACACATTTAGCATTAAGTAACAAGATTTGACTTTCCTGGAAGGCTACACCATGTTTGGCTCTGGGCATTGGATTTACACTACTATACAATATCTCTAAATCAGTGGAACCTTAAACGCATTATATTTAACGTTCACTGTACACTGTGAGTAAAGCAAAAATGGCCACAACAGATATATCTTCAACTGCTTACTTCAGGCCTGTAATCAATGTATTACTAATGTAAGTTTTAGGAATCTAGAAATAAGTTTTCCCATGCTTTTTAATCATGACACTATCAATCAGAGGGAAATCAGAGTTATTTCAATCAACCATCTCCTATATAAAATGTAACAGTTTTGCAAAGAAAACACAGCAGCTTGTATGAACAATTTCTTTTAAATAGTATTTTTACTTGAATGGAATTTTAAAACAAAAAAATTTACTTCCAAGCAGTCTGTTGTGTCCTTTATTGGATGTCGCAGAACCAACTCCCAGCATTTTTGTCTGTTGCGGTAGAATAAACAGAAAAGCCCAAATTAAGATGGACTATTCTTGTGGCTTTCAGACAGTGGCATGAGTTTTGCACCGTGGAAGGGGCTGAGAGCTCATCACATAATATTCCTAAAGATAGCAGTGGATGTGCTGCATACCTCTATTGCAGATATGACAGAACAGTAAAACTGCTACTGCCAAAAATGCTAGTGTGCTTTTCTTTGCTTTCTGTTACAGATAGTATAAAGGTACAGTAGACCCACCTGATGAATCGCCTCCTGAAGCGTCCAGCGATGATCCGCCTGGAAAGAATTCTCCCTGAACCACACCTCCCACCTGGCTATAGTCTGATCTCTGACCCCTTTTGCTGCCTTCACCATAATACTGATCATATGGCATGCCAGGAAATGCATTACTATGGTCTTGTGAGTCATCAACTGAAACAAACATGTTCACAGAAACCTTAGTGTTGTGTCGTGAAAAAAAAAAAAGAAGTAGATCTACCCAGCTTCACATTCATGACAAAATGAACATTGCAGCTAAAAAGCTGCATTCTATTGATCCACTGCTTGCATGGGCAACCTATAGGTATGCTTCCATTGTGTGTAAGAGACGGAGCTCTACGTGGAACATTAAAGTCTGGTAGTCTTGTCACATGAGCCTTTGTCAGCATACTGCCACAAACGGACAAGGCCTCTGTCATGGTGAGTTACAGACAACTTGACAAATGGGACACACAACACTGCATACAACATAAAGGAAGGTTAAGGTAAACTCAAAGCAGACACTACGGTAGGGTGTGAAGTGCTAGGTCTTTACATATTCTAAACTACAACATGAGATGAGGTGGTGAATTCCCTTATTCACTGCCTTTCCTTCCCAGATAATTATGGAAAGACACAAAACTTCTTGACTTATGACAACTTAAAATAAGCAAACAAAAAAACGAGATTACACTGGTATGGTAAAATATAAAAGTTCCCGGAACTGATGCCAAAATGCACCAAGGTCTAATTATACGTTCACAGGCTGAACTTTTGTATTTTATGTACAAGCTGTTCACCCCTTTGAAGTCTGAAAAAAGAAATTGTGTAAATTTACAACTAGTTTAGTTTGACTTACGACCAGTTAGTCAAAACGGAAATCGGTCTAAGCCACGGAGACACTGTATTTACAGACTGGGCTGACACCAGAGTTTAACAAATCTGAAACAATCTTCCACTTCTGGAGGATTGAACCCAGACCACTAACTCAGCAGGCTGGCGCACTAGCTCCTATGTCACCAGGAAGATGAGATATTTCTTCAGACACTACTTGATCATCTTTTCAAGCCCTCGTCTTTATCGTCATCGTCCTGTGGTGCCATTAAATGTCACATAAGGCCTAACGTCTACTCCTCCATTTCGTTTTTCTCGTGCAATCCCTTCAGTATTATCGATGGAATCCAGTCTCTCACCCTTGGCCTCTCTCATCAATGTTTTCTTTAAAGGCTTCTCTAGGACCATCTCACTTCCTCAATCTCTTTGTTTTCTTGCTAGCAGTATTTAAATATTAGTGTTTAGTATAAGCACTTTCTCATGGTCATCAGGGTTTCATTTAGATGGCAAAAGTCTCCTATTCCAAACCGCAGACATCACTGCTGGACAGTGAAATCCACACACAAATTCATCACAGATTAGGTATAAAGCATAAACAAATTCTTCATTTATGTCAAACAAGAAGGAATGCAGCTGGCTAAAAATAGTATAAACCACAGTCAAATCAATGCTGTTTCCATGCCCTTCAATAGTGTGCACTCATATAAAAAAAAATTTGAATGTAATTCAGTGTTAAATACAACCTAACAAATTATCAGAAGGTGAAACTGAGGTTTAGATATTAGTGAACATGATTCACAATTCACTTTCATGGTGTGTGGTTTAGAAAAACAAAGTCCTGGCCTTCGGACAGTAGCACAAGATTCATGCTGTGAAAGAGTGGCAGCATCAATGTAAAATATAATAAAACCGTGTTAATAGAACACAAAATTATTAAAATGAATACCTAAAAAGCTGCAAACATTTCTTACCTAGGAGGTTAAAAAGGGCATTTACAGATTCATTAATGCAGAGCTTATAGAGATCAATTCTATTAAATCAAAAAATTAGGAAATAACTGGTGTTAGATGGGAACCACCACCCCCCCCCCCCCACCAATGTTAACAAAAACATTTTAACTATAAAAAGGCTTTGTTAGTTCTTTAAAAGAAAACAAGTTTTTGAAACCAAAGAAGTTTAAAAAAAAACACGTTTAGAATTTGAGATGGAAATTATTATGGGAATGACCTGGAGGAAGCTGCAAGAAATAATAAAAGACAGAAGACCTTTACATAAAATAGTTAAGAATATATGGTCCATGGTGTGATAAAAAGAAGTAGCAGCATTTGAAGGAGGGAAAGAAGCATAAAGTATCAAGATAACGTGTCACATTTTCAGAATACATACTCCAACTGTAGAACTGTATTAATTTGCTGATCACCTCAACATATCTGCCAGTAACACTTAACTTTGCATAAATGACGACATAGGGTTTTTTCCTATCTTTAGAAACCAGCTTTAAAATTCATGTAACAGAACCTGCTCGCCTATTAGCCTGAACATCTTGGGTTCAAATCCTAAAAACAATATTTTTTTTTACAATGACATTTGGCTCCCAGGATGACCCAGCCATACATAGGTACAAAAAAAAACCTGGAAAGTAAAATGGCTGGCATCAAGTGCGGATACATCTCTACTAATTAATGTAGCATTAAATGCTTAATGCAAAAATTCCTTTACTTACTTTTCTAAACTTCCCTGAATATGATTTTAAAGTCTAAATGTAAAAATGCCAAGACAAAACAATAGTCTCACAGAAGGCACCGATGTTGCAGTGCAGAGTCTTTGGGCAAGAGATGTGTCATGCCCTTTCCTTCTTGATATTTGCAAGAAAATTCTGGAAATTAACCGGTATATTTATTTGAAGCTGGGTCAAGCCGGCAGCTGTACCAGTCAGAACAAATCCTGTCAATTCTAGGGATGGAACCTGGTGCACTGTCTCAGCAGGCAAACACACAAACCATGACTGCCCCATCATATGACCCATTAAATATAACGTCCAAAGTGTATACTTTACAAATGGCACATTAAAGACAATGTTAAAAGCATATATTTACAAATGTTAAAAACCATGTTCAAAGTGTATGCTTACAAATTTCCGAATCCTCCTCCCCGCCATGCCCTGACGGATCATATTCCTGCTTCACCTGAATCACTTTTAAGTCATTATCTAACTGAGGTTTAACATCTCTGTCTTCTGTAGCACCCAGACTATTTACAGGACTATTAAACGTTTGTGGAAAGACTTTAGACAGGTGAGATATGTCTGACTCTGTTGCTGCTGTTATTGTACCATCACCTGTAAGCTGAGGTGGTAAAAAGTTTGATGATGAATTTTCAGAATGTAACGAGTCTGTATCCAGTGGAGCACCATTAGACCCTGAAGAGTGATCAGGTCTGCTTTGTTTGGCAGAATGTCTGTGGCTGGAAGAAAAACTGATACCAAAAGGACGCTTTGTAGGACGGTTAGGTTTTCCAAGTGAACCTGTATTTACATGCTGGAAACTGTCTCTCGATGCAACTGTGCCCATATTTTGGCTCTCTGCTTGCTCCATGATAATTACATCCTCGTCTGTTTTTACATCAATGTCTGCAGGTTTAATGGGGTCAGAGATCTGCCCGGTCTTAGCCGGAGGCTTCGGTTTCTCGGCTGGCTGAGCATGAAAACTATTACTAATGAATGTGACGGAATTCTCGTCTGTTTTACAAACTTTTTCATTAAGTATGTAGTCTATTTTCTTGCCGGTGTCTACGTTGAGGTATATATGCCCAATGACTTCAACTCCATTGTTGAATTCGACATAACCATTGCACAGTGACTGAAGGAACTTGGCCAAGGATGATATAAATTTTGAAGAAGATTCAAAATCCATGTCTGATGATGAAACCTGTAACACAGTAAACAATTTTCAGTGAAACAATTAAAAGACAACAGTTTATCACGTTTAGAGACTGAAGCAAATAAAAATGCATCTGGAAAAAAAAAATAAACTCGTCAGTGTCAGCTTCTTTTCTACTTCTCAATCTTTTCTGTGACTCTGGTATAGTCACCTAAAAATATATGAGAGGGCTTCAAATAAGAACTCAAAAGGGTGAAAGCCTTTACAATAACCAATGCTTTTACCTTGTAACCTGTCAATATTGTTGTTAAGGATTTCAAGAGTGTTAAGCATGTGAAATCACGGTGCAGACGAACAGGGTGACATCATAATGAGATTTAAGATGGCCACCCAACTTATGACATGCACCAAAGAGCAGCAGCATTGATTATCCATTTTATTTTGTTTAGTGAAGACGTGAAACTTAAAGAAACTCATCAACAATTGAAACCCAAGTATGGTGATGCTTGCCTGTCAGGCTAGCACAGCGGTTCTCAACCTATGAGTCGCGACCATTTTTGGGGCCGAACAACCATTTCACAGGGGACGCCAAAAACCATCACGAAACATACATTCATTGAAGTTATGAAGTAGCGACAAAAATAATTGTATGGTTGGGGGTCTCCACAACATGAGGAACTGTATTAAAGCCTCCCAGCATTAGGAAGGTTGAGAATCACACTTTTATGTCATGAGGAGGGTGGGGGAGATTGCGTGGTCTCGAGGCATGGTGTCTACCTTGAGTGCTAGAGGTTCCTGGTTCAATTTCCGGTAAGAGCTGGGATTTTTTCACGTGGACTTGGACTTCTAGCAATTCCCCTGGTCTCTGGGTAGTGAGATCAGCAGTTGGAAACCAAAAAGAGTAGCCTAACGGCGCTGCTCTGGCAAAATTTGGAGTCAAAAATTTACCCAAAGTATTTCAGGATCCTCGCTAGTGCTACGGAGCCTGTGCACCTGAGAAGAACGGAGCACTTATGGGTTACTACCCGTGCGCCATGTTGATCCGTTGTTCAAACCTCATCTGTCATGAAACTATAGTTGAGTTTTGTGAGTCCGGAGATGGATTATAAGACCTAATACGTCTAGAAAGATCTAAGACAATGAGGACAGGGAACTGAAAGGAACAGGTAATTTTAAAAAATGGCCCCGCCCCAACTTCTGTGACAGACTACTGTTCATAACCAGGTCAGGCACCAGAAGTCAGGCAATTTCTATTTCACTTTAAGGTGTTCATCAGAAGCCCCTTTAAAAAGCTATGCGTGTAGTCAATGCACGCAAATTACTGGTGTCAGGTTTTACAGATTCGGTTTAGCTTAATGCTAATGATACCTACATTATAGCACATTAATCTAGGCCTATTTCACCAGTTTTTTTCTGCCTAAATTGGAAGTCATAGAATTTAAAATAATGTCAGCATGTCCTCAGTGATGGCTATTTTAATGAGCAATTGAAACTCAAATGGATCATCATTATGACTGAAAATCTCACTGAAACAAACTTTCATTTACAGCATAAGTAATATTAACTAAGCTGCCCCCTCCCTTTACCCCATCGAAGAGCTGCAAAAACAGACTTTCCGTCGGGGGTTGGGGGGATTGCCTTCAAAAGATAATGGGTTTGTTAAAGCCAAGTTGGCATCAAATGTTTCCGAAAGCCTCAGTGATAGTGGTAACTGCATTAGTCACCAGATACAGATTCATATACTACACATTTAAGGCCCGGAAAATGTACTCCATTTAATACTTCACTCTGTTCGTGTTTATTAATTCCTTCCTTTATATAGTATATACATTCAACAAAAAAATGTAGGCTATCCTGCGGATAACGGTCCCAAATTATGGAGGCCGAAAATATACCCTAACAGGGCCTCAGTAACATGTAAATTGCAGACCTCTTCCGGCGACTACACAGCAAACCGTGAAAAAAAGCTCTCGCCAAGTTTAAGTCACTGCCGAGAGTATCTCCCGCGCCGCTGCATGCGGCTAAACTAGATGGCTGGGACTCACGAACAGTAGCTACCGCATCTCATGCAGCTTGCTCCTTTTTATTTGCTTGTGTGTCCTAACCATCTTAGTCCCACTCCGCACCCACTATCGGCGGTATGCTGTGTAGTCACCGGAAGAGGTCCGCAAATTAAACGTGACTGAGGCCCTGTTAGGGTATATTTTTGGCCCCGATAATTTGGGACCGTTATTCGGAGGACAGCCCAAATGTAAACAGATAGATTTTTAAAATCTACTAGTATTAACCATTAGTGACCTGTGTAAAAATTTTTCTAAGGTTATTTTTAGGCTCTCCTTGCAACTACGGCCACATATTGGGGGATTACGCCGGAGTTCAGTCCCCTGGCCGCATTGCAATTACGGAGTGGAGAAGAGGGAATGAAACAAATGACGTAATTAGTGTGTGTTGGCGATAGACAGCGTGCAGTGCTGTCATCATAGGGTTAGGGTTTAGGGTAGGGTTAGGGTTGGGTGCAGTTCACTCACTGCTGTCGGTCTGCCAGCCATGTCGACCTCATTTTGTTGTGATTCGTTGCTTCTCCATTCCATAGTGGCCGTAGTTGCAAGGAGAACCCATTTTTGAGATTTGCCATGGGGTAGGGCTCTGTTTTTTAGCATCACCTTGGTGAAAAAGCTTGTACTGCATTCAAATGCTTTTTCCTCCAATATTTAAATATCACATTACATTACTGTTTATGTATAATTTGGAAATAAATAAAACAGAAATAGTATGACATAACTGATGGACACCGCAAGGACTGGCTGAATCTAGAACTAGAATAGAAAGGATTTTTTAAAAATCCTTGGGGGTTAAAAAGGGGGGGGGGGGGGGCAGATTTAAAAAAAAAACATGTACACGATATCTGCACTTAAGACTGGGAGCACTCAAATGTTACACAATATACAAATTTTTCAAATGTATTTAAACTATTTTCCGCCATTTAATGAAAACAATTATTTACTTAATTGTCCGTTGTTACAATCACGTACACGCGAATTGAATAAAATAGCCAGCATTAATAATTTGCCCTATCTAATGAATGCTAGCCACAATATTCTAACAATCGACGGTGTTATGCTGACGCAGACTTTTATTTTTAGTATTAATAGAGATTCTTAATAATTCTGAAATGTGGCTGATACAGCATAGCAACTTGATTCAACGCATATAAATCTGTTCTTTCACCCCGTCGAAAGCCACCATTTTGAACTTGTCAGAGTCAAGAGGTGATATCAGATATGCAGCATTGTTTTGAGATGGTAATATTTAAAGCATTACATTACTAATGTCATTTGAAAGAAGTGATTTTGCAACAGTAAAAATAATACCTGATAATTACTAGGACGTTAGCAAATAAAAAGCCGGTTTAAAATGCGAAAACTATCACGTAAAACGCATCGTTTGGTCACTTTGCCGACGCGTCGAGTCACTTGCTAGATTAACATAATTTATGAAAAAATATAGCGTCTAAATGCCGAACCAAACCATATAGTATAGTGATCGGATAGTCTATACAATAATTGTAACGAGTCTGGTTAAATTTAGTTCAAAGTTTACTCTAAAGCAACGTTTTCTTGGATATTTTTTTTTTTTTTTAAATTGTCAGTATTTGAAAATTAAAAGCATTTTATCATTTGAAAATTAAATTACGGACCCCCCTTCCACCCCACTGCATATAGTGAAAAAAAGTGGAAATTAATGATGATGATGATAATTACTTTCTGAAAATATTTTTGAGAAATAGTGGACTAGGACAATGTCTTTTTTAAAATACTAGCTCTGTTTATATGCGGCATGAGTTTACAAATAAATATACACAAATTTATAAGTATAAATGTATATTTAATTACACATGTATATGCGCGTGTGTGCGCGCGCATACTCGGCGTGTGTGCGCGCGCATACTTAGCGTGTGTGCGTGCGCATACTCGTGCGTGCGCGCAGGCATTAGCGCGCATGCGTATCATTATCAACTCAAAATGTTCAGATAAGCGTAGTGGTGAGCAGTGTTGCCACTTTGAATGTTTTACATCCAGATTTAAATGTTTTCCCTTGCATTTAGATGGTGTTTTTGACGTTTAGATGGTAGATGTCTTTCTAGAAGTTTTTCGTTTGGAGTTAGATATTTTATAGATTTTTTCTTCTTTCAATGTCAGTTTAATACTGTATAAAATATTTACTACAATATGTTGTTTTGGTCTGGCACGTACACTGTGACAATTGCGATTACTTAAACTTTGAACTCTCACTGGGGTCAGTGCTCAAATACAATTGAACCTCGCTTAACGAGCATAATTCGTTCCAGAATCATACTCGTTAAGCGAAACACTCGTTAAGCGAAACACTCTTTATGCGAAACAATGTTTCTCATTTAAAATAATGTAAAATACGATAATGCGTTCCATGTCAAAAAATAAATACTCACAAAATGCTATGTATAACGTTTATTAAAAGAAATTTGTATTCATATTGTTAGGGAGAGTGAATCATCTTCATTTTTTCTTCAATCGCGGAACGATCCCACCTGAAATGCAAATTCGATTTGCAGAAAAAAAAAGTCGAAAAAATTATGATACATAAATAATTATGATACATAGGAAAAACATAATAGCAGAAGGCATGGTACCAGGAAGGAGGGGCAGAGGCCGGCCGACACGAAGATGGGCATAGGATATGACTTCTTGAGTGTGAAAGTGCATGAGGCGGGAAAACTGGCGAGAGACTGAGTTTCTTTCAGGCAGACTGTAATGAGAGAGACGTTTTGCAAAGAACCTGCTACATGATGATGACATAGCTAATTATTATTTTTTGTTTTGTTTTGTTACTAGAAAGATGTCCAGAGACATTTGTTTTTGACGACGCTTCAAAATTTGGCGAAAATGCGACACAGCATTATCATTAATTAAATTTGCAACGCGCATAGCCACTTCCTTATAAGGGTGATGCTTCTTAATGTAAGATGCAAAAGTTTGCCATGCTTTTCTCCTATT